GTAGCTCAATTGGTTAGAGTGTCTTCCCAATATGCCAATGTGTGGGTTCAATCCCCGGCCAGGGCACATACAGGAAGCAACCAATGAATGCATAAATAAGTGGAGCAACAAATCCATGTTTATCTCTTTCCCTCTTTCTCTCTCTCTCTCAAAAATCAATAAATAAAAATTTAAAAAGAATAAAAAAGAATGGTTGGACTATGGGGAAAGAGAATAGCAACATGGCCTGTTGGAGTGAGGACTGCAGGGTTGCCTAAGAATAAGGTCTTATGGAGGAGATAACATTGATGTGTGATAGGGGCCAGTCAGGGAAGAGCTGTGAATGAGAAAGGCTGGAATAGGGAGCTATTTTAGGATTTTGGTATGGGAGTCACACAATAAAAATGGATACTGTCAGGTGATTAGCAGGATAGCAGTTTGCTGGATCAGCTTGGGGGACAAACTCAATGTGGGAGAAACAGGATGCAGTAAATGAGTAAGGGTCTTCTAAGCAATATGTAATATTTTTATCATATTATTTTCCAGGTAGAATATGGTTGCCTATAGAAGATACCTTGTAAATGCTCAGAAAGGTCTCCAAATTACTGTAAAGAAGTATAAAGTAGTGCTGAGTAAATTAGAGAACTATGTGAAGTTTTTTTTTAATTTATCTTTTTATTAATTTATTTTTATTGTTGAAAGTATTATAGATATTTCCCTTTGTTTCCCCACTGATCCCCTCCACCCCACATCCCCATCCTACAGGCCTTCACCACACTATTGTCTGTGTCCATAGGTTATGCATATATGTGTATAAATTCTTTGATTAATCACTCCCCACCCACTCCTCCACCCCTGCCTTCCCACAGAGATTCATCAGTCTGTTCCATGCTTCTGTGTCTCTGGATCTATTTTGGTCCTCAGTCTATTTTGTTTATTAGATTCCACATATGAGTGAGATCATGTAAAATGGAATCAGGAAGAATCAGAAAACCTGAATAGGCTAATAACAACTGATGAAATCAAAGCAGTAATCGCCTGGCCGGGCGTGGCTCAGCGGTTAAGCATCGACCTAGGATCCAGGCGATCAGGGTTCGATTCCCGGTCAGGGCACATGCCGGAGCTGCAGGCTGCAGGGGATCAATGACTCTCTCATCATTGACGTTTCTAGCTCTCTCTCTCCCTCTCCTTTCCTCTCTCTGAAATCAATAAAGATATATTTAAAAAAAAGAAAAAAAAAAATCAAAGCAGTAATAAAAAAAACTCCCAGCAAACAAAAGCCCTAGTACAGATGGCTTCACAGGAGAGCTTTCTAATTCCTTAAGTTGTAGGGTTAGATAGTTTACTAAAAATTTTTCTTGCTTATGAGGTAGGCCTGCAGTGCTATGAACTTCCCTCCTAGGACTGCTTTCACTGTGTCCCATAGATTTGGGGTTATTGTGTGTTCATTTTTATTTGTTTCCAGGAAGTTTTTTATTTCTTTCTTGATCTTGGAACCCATTCATTGTTTAATAACATGTTACTTAGCCTCCATGTGTTTGAATGTTTTTGAGTGTTTTTACTGTAGTTGATTTCTAATTTCATGCCCTTGTGATCTGAGATGCTTGATATTTCAATCTTCTTGAACTTGTAGAGACTGGTTTTATGTCCTAACATGTGGTCTGTCTTTGAGAACTGCCCATGTGCACTTGAGAGGAATGTATATTCTGCAGCTTTGGGGTGAAATGTTCTGTAAATATCAATTAAATCCATCTGATCTAGTGTGCCATTTAGAGTCACTGTTTCTGTGTTGACTTTTTGTCTAGAAGATCTATCCAGTGAAGTCAGTGGGGTGTTAAAGTCCATGACTATGACTGTATTGCTGTTGATCTCTCCCTTAAAGTCCTTAAGGTTATTATTGATAGGTCCTTATTTATTGCCATTTAAATTCTTTATGCCTATGTTTCTCTATTTCTTTGTGTGAAGTTTTAATGTAGTGCTTTGTCTGGATTTATCAGAGACCACCTCCACGCACTCCAGTGGAAGATGCTTATGACATCCTTGGATGATGGAGGAGGCAGAGGGAGAGAGGCAATGATGATTGAACTAGTAAAGTTCTACTTGACTTTAAGGAGTAAGGTAGATGACTAGATAGGCTGAGGGTACCAAGGGTTATAGATATTGAGAACCTGAATCAGAAAACCTGAATAGGCTAATAAAAACTGATGAAACTGAAGCAGTAATAAAAAAGCTCCCAGCAAACAAAACATTCAGCTAATAACTTAGGTAAAAAGTATACATGATATTTCACAGCTGTTACTACTTTTCCTTTCTGTCCCTTCCTTTTCACAGGTGGCTGGGAATTGGAAGGAGGGAAGGTTGCAGGGAATACATTATTCCAGTAATACTTCCAAGCTACATAGAGGCTTCTTCAAAGAGAATTACTTCTTGAATCAAAAATGAAAGTTTAGGCCCTGGCTGGTGTGGCTCAGTTTGTTGGGTGTAGTCCCATGCACAGAAGGGTTGCAGGTTTGATTCCCAGTCAGGGCACATGCCCAGGTTTCAGGTTTGGTCCCTGGTTGGGGTGGGTGCCGGAGACAACTGATTGATGTTTCTCTCTCATGTTGATCTCTCTCTCTCTCTCTCTCTCTCTCTCTCTCTCTCTGTCAAATCAATAAAAACATATTTAGGGAAAAAAAGAAAAAACAGCTGGCATCCATAGCATCTTCTCCAGGTGAGTGGTGCTGGGGAGGTATGTAGGACTCTATGTGGCCAGCCACACACACACTCACTCACACAAAACCAAAAATCTGCAAATGTTAGTTTTGCTTTGTTTTCTCTTTTGCCTAAGGTAAGGAGTTGCTGCTTTTTGTTTCCTTGCCTCTTGTCCCAATCCCTCTCCATTACTGGAGTCTGGCTCATGGCTTTCTTTCTAACTATACACAGTCACCCAGTAGAAGAATTCACCTTTAGAATTATAAGGGTGTTTAGAGTAGGCAGAGAGATCAAGATAACTTTCTACTTTCCATCTCATTCACCTAGGTTTACAGAGCCTTAAAACCAGGTAATTATGAATGTTTGTCATCAAATTGCTACTTAGCATTTTGACAGGTATTATGCTATTTTTTGCACTGGTTTTCTCATCCTTAGTAATTTCTAAGTTATTTGACAGAGGGACTGGTTGTTAATTCTTCTTGTATCCTCCTTTTCCACCCCAATTGTCATAGGGGTGAACTCTTGAAAACATAAATAAGTAGGTCGTAACACAGATCATGCAGTAAACCTGGGCTACAATAAAGTGAGTGAAGTTTTGGATAAGTCAATAAAAGTGAAAAATTATATATAAACATAATTGTTTGAAAAAGATCATGCAGTAATACTGATTTCTGGTAAAATGAAAAGTAGTTTTCATTAACATTTTATGGACATATTTATTTATTTAATATTTTATTGATTTCAGAGAGAGGAAGGGAGAGGGAGAGAGAGATAGAAACATTAATTGATTGGCTGCCTCCTGCATGCACCTTGCTGGGGATGAAGCCCACAATCCAGGCATATGCCCTGACTGGGAATCGAACCATGATCTCCTGGATCATAGATCCACAGCTAAGCCATGCTGACCAGGCATTTTAGACATTTTTATTCTATGAGAATAAATAAAAAAACATTTTGGTGTTTGTTGTTTGCTTAAGTCAAGAATTACACGAATTATATGTCAACCAAGCCTCACATCCTCTGGGTCCTTCTGAGTATGTGCTATATGAAATATATAATAAGGAAAAGACAGTCTACCAGTCAGTTCTGAGAAAATAGTAATTTCCCCTATAAATGAAAGTGAATGATTAGTTTAACACAAATTGCACTCTCTGTTTAAGACCCTGACAGGGTGATAAGGTCACAAGCAAGGAGAATACAGAGAGGAGTAAGAAACTCTAAAAAACCTTATTCTCCAGGAGGGGAGAAGCGATGAATGTAAAGTTAACCATCAGTGCTATAAAGTACTTTTAAATGAACTGCACTGTGGTAACTGAGCTGAGCTTTACGCATGTTAAGGATGCTTTCCCTCTGATTACGTGTTCAAAGTTGACAATTTGGAAAATAAAGAAAAACACAAGAAAAAAAAGCGCATTTAATTTCCCCACCAGGAGAGAACTATTATTCTTTTAGTATCTTCTTTCTCACATGCCAGCATTTTAGACTTTTAGTTTTTGTAGTGGAGAGGAATAGAGAAGTTCGTCGGATTGGGTGCGAGATGGGTTGGATGAAGATGGGCTTAGCAGGCTAAGCGAAGTTGTCCAGGAGGGAGCTGACATTCGAGCCTGGAACTGAGAAGGAATCTGAGGTTGGAAAAACTGCAAGGCTCATTAGTTTTCTACACATGGCTGAGTCTTTTTTTTTTTTTTTAAGGGAAAGCAAAAAGTTTATTAAAGGAGAGGAGAGACAAGAGCTCTCGCTGCAGCGAGAGGGGTCCCGAACAGGCAGCCGACATGGCTGACTCTTCACTGTTGCCTCCTCGCCGAGAAAACTCTTTTCTTTATTCACACCAAACGCCGGAGGATTCACCGGGCGCTTCTCCTAATTCTAGGCCTGGGGCTGGGGCAGATCTTCCTGAACCGGCTACCTACGGAAATCCCTCCCTCTCTCCCGCCCCTGCGCAGCGGGAATTCCAAGATATGGGCGGTCCTTCTATTAGGCGCTCTAAGGAACAGAGATAGGATACAGCGGCCGCCAATCAGACCTCCCGGATACCCGGATGTGAAGCGGTCCGCGATACAAAGGCCAGTTTCCACCCAGCGCTTCCTCAGGTACAGTGGCCAATAAACATTTCTCAGGAGATGAATGACAGGAAAAATAACCAGTTACAAACTAGTTTCGCTCACGCATGTGGAAATTCTTTTGCTTAGTCTAACCCACTGCTTTCTGTGATTGGACAGAATTGTGAAGGGCGGTAGAATTGTCTAATTAGAAGCGGGAGCGAGAAAAATTGCAGCCAATAGGAAGAATCCCAGTAGTGGGGCGGGGGCTAAGCCTTCGCCTCGGCGGCAGAGGAGACTCGGGGGCCATTTTGTGAAGAGACGAAGGCTGAGCGGTTGTGGCCGCGTTGCTGACCTCGAGCAGTAGTCCACTTCTCCACGTAGAACCCGGGAGTAGGAGATTCAGAATCGAATCTCTTCTCCCTTTTCCCTTCAGGTAAGTGGAGGAGACGGAAGCAGGGGAGGCGCTGGGTTCCTGGGTGAGCGCGAAGGGATGTGGGAGAGAAAATGAGGGAACCCTTTCCTCGGTAATTAGGCCCCCATTTATTCTCTTGCAGTAGGGGAATAGGTCTTATGCGGGAGAGAATTTTATAGGCCTCAGCCCTTGTGGAGATTTAACCTAGTGTCCTCTAGGCTACGATCAGTAGAGGAAATGTACTTTTTTCGTTCTCTTTCTATGTTAACGGCTGCTTTCCTTTCATTTTCTACCGCCATGAGGACTCCAGGAGGGATCACGAAAGGGAAGATCGAGATGCTCGTTAATGTAGTTGAAGTTAATACGATGCTGATGCCTCCGGTTAAATTTAAAAATTGGGCGGGGTTTGGGAGAAGATTACCAAGTAGACATTATACCGCATGTCTCTTAAATTCTGGAGCGTACCACAGGGCATAAGAATAATAAATATTATAACAATAGATAAAATATTTTATTGATTACTTTTCATTTTACTTCTCTGAGAAAATGGACCTCGAAGTATTTATTTTCAATTGGTTTTTAAAAGATTATAATCTCATATATTAACAGTAATAATTAAAGCTGACTTTTTATCTACAGGTTACAAATCACTTGAAATATATAAGTTAGTGGAACTTTCCTTGAGGTAGGTATTACTATCTTTCTTAGAAACGGAGGCATAAGAATGTTGGTTGCCAGGGTCATGTTGAATCAGGAGCGGAACTAGTAAGAAATTTGACCACTGAATTAGTCCAGTGGTTTTACCTAGCTGTAGGAATACTAGGCACTAAAAGTACTGTGTTTGAATCTTTACAAGAACCTAATTACAGCAGTAACTGGAACTTCCCAAGCAGTACTTGGGAATAATATTTACAAGAATGATATTTGTTATTAATATAATGTCCTAAGATGATAAACTTAAAGTTTAATTTTCAGGATATTCTGGCATTAATTTTCCAGACCATCTAAACTGGCAATATTCATAACTAAGCAAGTATCAATGTGCCTACTATTTGCCAGGTTCTGAAACATTAACATTTTTTGCTAAGTTTATAAAAATTACAAAAAATTGCTCTTTTTTATCATCGTGTAAGATTTAGGTGATTTTAATTTTCATAATGTGTTAAATCTCACAAACTAACATGGCGGAAACCAATAGTGCAAGGTAAATTTATCCCTTAAGAAGCCTACTTGATAGGAAGTAAAAGTACTCTTATTCTAGATACCCAATGTATTTGTTGACGCTTCACCATTGTAGATGATGTAATAGGAATCAAAAGCATTCCCCCCCGTGTTTTTTTTTTTAAGCCTAAACATTTATATTTATTACATGGGCTTAAGACTAATGTTTATTACTGCAGAATTGTTGTAAATGAGGTAAGGGCGGTGATTACCTAATTTAGGTAATATACCTTATAAAAGTAGTATTGGCAGATAAAGAGTAATGTCAGGAATTAATATTTAAGAATAGTAACTGATGAGTTGAAATTAGTTAAAGGGCACTTTACTTGCCTTGAGGTGTTAGATCAACATGTATCCAGGTAACCATTCCTTTGAGTTAATGTCCATCTGGAATGCTTTGGCCACAGAATTAATATCTGAACAATTCTAGATGTGCTTTCAAATAGGTAGTCATTAGCAACATTTGTATGTTGGCTAGAGAGGAAGGGTTTAAGTACGATGACTAAATTGCAGGTCTTCTGACCTTTCTGTTTCCCATGCTGATGCCACGTGAATGCTTGGTGGTGTCTGCTGTTTCTTCTGTAGAGAATTTAAGTATAGCTTATATTTGTAATTAGGTCTCTAGAGGGTTTCACATAGCATGTGACCTTGTTTTGGATGGAATTACTGTTAGTAACAAGCAAGGAATAAGGTCCAAAATAGCTAGTTATTCAAATCTTAAAGATTATTTTAACTGGTGAAATTGTGAGATGTTAACTGGGGAGTGGTAACAGTTGAAGAAATCTTGGCCTACGAGTTGAGAGAACTGGATTTTATTCCCCCCCAATGCTGGTTATTACCTGTGCCAGGAAAATGAGTTAAACTGTCTGAATTTCTGTTATATATATATATATATAACAAATGAGTTGTAGAAACAAAATTAAAATAGAAATCTAATCAGAAATTAAAATAGAAATTGCTAGATTTCTTATTTCTATAACATTTTTTTCTAGAAGGCTGGAACAGATACAGAAATAGTTTTACTATTAAAAGTAAAAGCAGTTTTTGTATATCATTAATGTTAACCTCATTTAATAAAAGTATTTCAGTCTTTAAGTAATTTTCTTAGTAGTTGTCTTTGGGGACAACTTTATAAGTATTTGCTCATACTTAATAGGTATACTCATTCTCTTTGGGATCAGGGAAGATTATGGTTTTGTATATAATTAGATTTACTAGAGAATTGGTGAGAACCAGAACTATTAGATGTATCATAATTGCATGAATTTTCTAAGATAACTGGAAGTGTGGGGGTTAAAAAGGGAAAAAGGATTACTATAAGCTGGTTTTTAATTCCCTTGGTGTATTTACTATGATGGGTTATAATTTTCTTGGATTTATTTTATATAGTATCAGGAACACATACAAAGCCTTGGTGCTTAAACCTGTTGTCAGTACACTGGAAGGATAAGGTACTTTGTTTATAAAAATTTATCTTGAATTAACTAGGGGAATAAAGAAGTTCCTCATTAAAGTCTTCACAGTTCCTAAACATGAGCTGAAATCAGAATCAGCAAGAGGGCTAGTTAAAACATTGCTGGGCTCTCTAGCCCCTGAGTTTCTAATTAAGTCAGTCTGGAGTGGGCCCCGATAATTTGCATTTCTTGTAAGTGCCATGTGATACTAATTGTCAGACCTCCCTTTGAGAATACCCCTTTAGAAAGGATCCAAACCTCTCAGATTGTCCAAATACAGTATAATCTGGGTACACTATTAATTACTAGTTGTTGGAATTACGAGCTAAAGTAGTTTGGTTTTTTTATGAACTCATCAATTTATAACATTTTGGGAAACATCTTAACTTCTTGACTTTGAAAGATAACTTTCTTTTTATATTAACTACTTTTTAAGTTTATGTCTTGTGACAAATGTGCGAAGGATTTTGTTTGTAGATGAGCCACCAAGTTACTTAACATATCCTGAAAATTTTAAGTACCAAGTTCAGGCTGTGACTCCAAGAAGAAATTGATGAGACATTCCAAACACTGACTCAAAGGAGATAACATTCAAAAGAATGTACATTTTTGTACAACTTTTTGTGTAGTTTGTACATTTGTACAACTTAACACATCAATCCAAGTATAAAAGTAACTTACATGTCATGCTTAAACTGGTCTGCTTTTTAAAAATTTACAATACCTGTTCTGTTGCTGTAGTCATATGGTTGACTCATGGAACACTTTCCAACTCGGCTTAAAATTTTTTAGTTTACTGACATTTGGAGATGAGAATAAAACCTCATGGCTGAATATTGAAATGTGAATGCAACTAGTTCATTCTTCTGTACTCAAAAGATCTACAGTCTGATTGCAGATCTTGTTTTTGCTGATTAGACAGCCAGTCTGTCATGTCTGTTATTTTTATATCAGATTCTTAGAATTCATTCTTAGAACTAGGTACATATACTAGTTAATAAATAGTGGGACCACAGAAACAAAAAATTTCTTAAGGATCATAGTTTATTCACCTATTTTATGACACTAAAAATTAGGTAGCCATAATCTTTTTTTCCTTCATCTTTGGTTTTTCATTCTGTTAGTGAGTAGAATAATGTGCTCCTTGTTTAAAGCATCTTTCCTTCTTATTATAGAACCTATCAGGTCTTGTGGTTTGTTCACTTACTGGTTTTGAGGATAAATGTTATCTCTTATGTATCTTCCTGGTAGACCATTCTCCTTCAGTCTATTACAGGAAAAACTACATGGACTTAAAATTTAAAAACCCATGAATTTGCTTACTTTCATTAATCTTCCTTCATCTTTGAGATTTGCTCACTTCTTTATCTCTGTTGGCTTGGTTTTTCTATATTTTCCTTGCCCAAACTGGTTATCAAGATGAATGTTTAAACTTAGACCTAGACCTTTTTTGAGACCCTTAAGGGAATACATGCACATATTTTGATATTCTAGTTACCTCCAGTTTAACAGTTGTGAAGACAGTCACTGATAGAAGTGATTGTATAGAGGTTCTCCCCATCCCAGTGAAACGTTATGCTTTACCAAAATGTGTTAGTTGCAATGGACAGATGTTTCTGTCTTGGGGGTTTAGGGCACAACATTTCTGAGGAACTCTGACTCAATCTGTCCCTTCTCCTTTCACAGGGCAGCAAGGCGAACCCCATCCCTACTCACTGGAGCTCAGCTTTGATTTTTAACCTCCCTTCCCTACCCTTCCAGAACACACACATTCCCATTCCAAAACTGATTTTATAAAAAACATTTTAAACATAATGATGCAACTTGGTGTGCACTACGGCAAATTTACAGGTGTTTTTTTTTTGTTTCCAAAAACGGGACTTGGATTTAAGATGTAATTTTTAAAATTTCTATTTCTATTTTTTCTGCAGCAGTTGGGTTAGAGGAGGAGGAGCCTTTTAGCCTCTCATAAACTGACCTCTCTACTTCCTCGTGTATTTTTAAGATTGATTGATAATGTGGAAAGGGCTTTGCTTGTCTGCTACTGAGAACTTGACCCTAGCGGTTTTTGTGGAAACTGCTTTTGGAAAGAGAAAAGAAATGAACTTTACTGACTTAACATTTTTGCACCTCCCGTTTTTCTAATCTGGGCTATTTTTATTTTTGTTTTTTTACAGTGAGATTTTTTTGATCTTCAGCTACAGTAAGTTATTCCAATTTTTTTTTACATTTTTCCTGACTTTCCGCTGATTTCCTTTTTATTGTTGTTACTAGTTACTATTATTTATTATTATTATTATACTTATGATGGTGATGATGATGATGATAATGACTGATGATTTTTAACCGGATTAAAATCGAGTTTTTCTGAATGTTCATAAGAATTTCTCCCTCCTCCTAATTGACTTTGGAGTTTTCCATCTTGGGAGAGAAACTGAAGGCATTAGCATTTTTAAGTGGATTGATCACATAAACCTTTTCTCTCCCAACCCCACCCTTGCCCTCATCCCCTCCCCCACGCTCGAAAGGATTTTACTGGCTGTTAAGTCTGTGACCTTATTTTTCCTGATCTTTAACTTAACTGTTTTAGAGCATCTCTGGACGTCTGTATTTTTAATTTTTTTATTTTTGTTTTTTTTATTTTTAATCTTTCATTTGTTAAATTTTTAAACTGTGCTGCAATAAAATGTGTGTGGTACTACTTAGCACCTATGATGGTGATGGCATTTTCCCAGAAAGCCATTTTCCTCCTGTTTCCCTTGAAATCCCATCCTGCTTTTCCTGTACACTACCCCTCACAAACCACAAGCTGCAGCAACATGGATGCCCAGCCTGGAGCAACGGCAGCCAGGATGACCTGGAGCCAGGGGGGCCTTCGGAACAGATGCACACCCTTCCTGGGTGATGGTAAGAGGTGTGAGGTCCACTAGTTTCGTTGTGAAGACTAGGAAATACACCAGTCTAAGTTTAGTTGATGAGGTGATGATAGCTTCTGGAAATGTTAGGGTTAATCCTTCTGTTGTATCTCAAGACATGTTTCCAAGGGAGGCCACTTCAGTTTTTTGTAAACGAATGGAATTAGGAGTATCTAGTTAACTTGGGCTGACTGAGAATTTTGGATAGTTGAAAAAAAGCAGCTGAAGTTTACATATACTTTAGAATGAAATGGCTTGTTTTATTATTTTTTTTTTTTAGAAAGAGGAGGAATATCAATTTGATCAAGTTGTTGTTCCACTTACTTATGCATTCATTGGTTGCTTCTTGTATGTGATTGGGGATCGAAGTCCCTGCAACCTTGGCATATTGGGTGATTCTCCAACCAACTGACTGAGCTACCTGGCAGGGCCAAAATGACTTGTCTTAATGATTAGGAACAAAATGGTTCTTTTTCTTACTGTTGATAATTAGTGAAAATTTTCTATCATTTGGAGTAGTCTTCCTTGGGTTTGTGACAACAGTTTTGGGTTGTATTCTGTTTAGACTATTTTTATTAAAATTTAACATGAATCAAACCACAAGGTTGCTGTAATATTAAATGCTGTCTCACTGGAAGGTTTTTTTAAAAAGGATAGGAAGGTTTTTAGATCTTTTAATGGGAAATATCCAAATCGGAGAAGATCTAGGGTTGTCCTCTTTTTTCAATGATGACTTGTGTGGCAATCGATGTTGGGCAATAAAGTATGTTCCCAAGGGTGATAAGAAGGAATGAATCTGGTCTATTCACACGAATAATGCAGAAATAAGGATATAAATAGCCAAAGAGTTAAGAATTTTTATAACCTGTAGTATTTTACAACAGCTCGGTATTTTGATAACTAACAGATTTTGAGCTGGGGAAAAAAATTGATTTTTAAAGGCATATTCAGTGCTGTGGTACTAGAATAAATCACATTCTAGACCCCTTCTCTTTCTTGTACCGAAGAGGTAAAATTTGGTTAAAGTGAACACTGACGGCAGCCTTAAAGGAAAACAGAATGGAAACAAAGAAGTGTCCAGAGGTTATCTGGAAAAGGAATGGAAAATTTTCTTTTATAAGACCCAAGTTTTATTGCTTTCTATGAAATCTGTTACTGTGTTCTCTGTCGTGTGGCTGCTGTTCACTATAGGCTCAATTTAATTTATTCCTTAACTAATTTTACAAATCCATTATGGGTTATGTTCTTCTGGTTTTGAGGAAACAGGGTATAGTTCTTCTGGGACTCAGCCTAGGGAGGGAGACAGATGAGTGAGATTATGTAATGTGATTGAAGATAAGTACAGAACCTATAGAAGCACGCAAAAATGTGTACCTACTAATTAAGTGGTCAGGAAGTGCTTCTAAGAGAAAGCAGGCTGAAATGAATTTTAGAGAAGGCCAGATTATAAATATTTTAATGCTGTGCCAAGGAGTTTGTACTTTATCCAGAAACTAGTAGTGAGCTGTTGAAAGATTCTAAACTGGGGAGTGACGTTAGATTTTCCTTCTTAGAAATGTCATTTTGATAGTGTGGAAATGGCTTAGAGGAAAATAAGATTGGAAGTAGGTGATAAATAAGGAAGATATTAAACTACAAGGAAGAAGAATGACCTGACCTTGTCAAAAGCAGTGGTGCTGGGATTAGAGAGGAGAGGTAAAGAGGATTTGGTGGTGGCTGTGATACAAAGAGTGAGGGATTTGGCTTGAACCCAGAACCCTAGGATTCTACTTTCTGGGATGAAGATAGATAGATAAACAAAAGGATTAGGGCTGAGAATAGGAGAAAGTTATTTAAACATTGATCATTTAGATGCTCCTGGAACAGTCAAGTAGGAATATTTATTCATTAAACATTTGAGTAGTGCTTATTCTGAAAATCACCATTAGGCATACAGAGATGAACAAAACATACTGTCCCCTGCCCTCTTGGGTATTATAGACCATTGAGGAGAGACATAAAGTGGACAAATAGCATTTTCACATCTAGATCCATGAAGTGAAAGAACAGGGTGAGATAGTAGGGGGAACCAAATTTACAATGTGGAAGTGTCAGCGTCCTGCCAGTGAAGAGACCTTAATGGAACCCATGTTGAAATTGAGATCTGTACGTGGATTATCATATCTGAAAGCAGATAATGGGGAAAACTAGGCCTCACAGCAAGAAATACTGCTGGAGAATAGTCACTGAGAATGCATAGGATAAGAGATGAAATTTGGGAAGTAGATAAGTACCAAACATAGAGGTCCTTTTCGGGTCATGTTTAAGATTTAAATTATCCTTTGAAGGACTTCAGAGAATGGAGAGGTCTGATTCTTTTTCTGGAATTTCCTTCTGGCTGTTTTGTGGGGAATATTAGTAATGAGGACTGAGTGCAAGTAGGACAGTAAGCTATTAGAGTAGGTCATCTCTTGAATAAAGTAGGGATCCTAGGCCTGAGGCTACTTGCTCTGGTTTTTTGAATGATTTTTCTCTGCGTGTATTCGTGAGCAAATGTACTTAGTTTGAAGAGAATAGTTTAGTCAGGCTGTAGGTAGGACATCACTGGTTATTTCTCTAACTACCCTTGTTGGGACAGGCATGATATAATTGGTTTCCTGTTTGATAGGAAAAATGAAGTAGAACCTCAATTCCTTTCTTTTGGATGTAATTGGACGTTTTACCATATGTTCACCACTGTTAAAGTTCTTGTGTTAGCTTATTTAATCTTTATCATAACCTTATGTTCAAGACACAGTTAAGGTGTTACAGTACCACTGCAGGAAAATTCAAGAATAGCCATTATTTTAGCAAGATTAAGCTTGCAATGGTGGGCAAACCAGATTGAGGATTTAAGTGTGCTCAAAAGCAAATATTTGGTGTGTTGATGCTTACAGGTTATGACGCCCGATGAGGGGTTGATAGCACAACTTGACACCATTTCCTCCCCATCTACAAGACAGGTGCAGTGGCCTATCTGCTGCTCCTGCCTACCTCTTTTCAAAGCAACAGTAATGATAAAAGTAATGCAAATGATATAAAAGCTACTGGGTCTGAGTATCAACAGTATATCAGAAGTGTGCAAATATGGTAAAACTGCAGATGTGTCTTGAACATACTAGGTGTTCCTACCTCAAAGACTTTCTTTGGGATTTCCTTCTCCCAGACATTCATAAGATTAGATTGTCTAATTTAGGTTCTAACTCAAAAGCCATTTAGTGATCTTTTCTCTAACAGCCTTTTAAACTCTCCTCCCCACCCCCCACGTAAATACTCTAGCTCTTTCAAAAGCTCATCTGTTATAGAACTGTATTTTCTACCAAGTAAAGGCAGAGAGAAATATCTGGAAAGATACAAAACAACATTGACTACTACTGGGCAAGGGAGAGGGACTTAGGAAGGTGGAAAGAAACTTGCTCTGTGTGCTTAAAGACTGATTATTATAATGAGCAACACATTTTGCTTCTAATTAAAAAATTTATTGTAGCTATATTTGAACTCTTCTAGTACTGTGGGTATACATACCATAATAAAGTCTGTGTCATAGGGGTTTAGTAGCAGTTTTGGTAGTTAAGAAACAACCTTAAAGTAAGTGTGGCTGTGATAAATGAAGTTAGTCTAGAGAGCAGAGGCTGCTGTGCTGCCTGTGATGGGGCTATCATCAAAATTTGGATGAACTTTTTTTTAATATATTTTTATTGATTTCAGAGAGAGGAAGGGAAAGAGAGATAGAAACATCAATGATGAAAGTAATTGATGGGCTGCCTCCTGCACTGCCCCTGCTAGGGATTGAGCCCCAACCCAGTCATGTGCCCTGACTGGAAATTGAACTGAGATCTCACAGGTCATAAGTCGATGCCCAATAGCTGAGCCACACCAGCCGGGCAAGAACTATCTTTTTTTTTTTTAAATATATCTTTATTGATTTCAGAGAGAGGAAAGGAGAGGGGGAGATAGAAACATCAATAATGAGAGAGTTATTGATCGAGCCCGCAACCCGGGCATGTGCCCTGACCGGGAATCGAACCCTGATCTCCTGGATCCTAGGTTGACGCTCAACTGCTGAGCCACGCCAAGCTGGGCAAGAACTATCATTTTTTAAGAAGTCATATTCTCTGGCCATGCAGGGGAATGAGCATCGACCCATGCTCCAAAAGGTCACTGGTTTGATTCTCTGTTGGCACATGCCCGTGTTTTGACTTGATCCCCAGTGTAGGGGATGTGTAGGAGGCAGCTGATCGATGATTGATGTTTCTCATCTGTTTCTCTCCCTCTCTCAAAATCAATGAAAACATTTAAGAAATTATATTTTCCAGTGAAAACCGCATAGCTATTTTTTAAAAGAGGTAGTCATAACAGATTAGAAGGAACGTCTGATTTTTTTTCTTCCTACTCAATCTGATTTCCAGTTGTACCACTCTAAATCATCTTCCTGTTTCCCACTTAAATTAACCTATAGCTTTTCAGTTGATTTTAGAAGTGATGTAAGTCTGGGACAGTTAATTGAACCAGTCTTGGGCTTTTCTGGCTATTCCAGAGTAACATTTAGGAATACATTAGTAGAATACATGTAAAATGGAATTTTCTGTATTCTGCAAATGATGTAATGATTCATAGTGCACTGTCATTCTTTATATTAATCCTTTAAATATAGTCATCACCTATTTTTTATTTTGGTGTTACCTTTAAAAACTTTATGGCTAAAATTGGGATAGGGAAGTGTATTTTCCAAAGAAAAGTTTCCCCCTTAATTTCAAGTTTGTTGTCTTAAATTGGAATTATGCAGTTATTTGTCCTTTGTTTAAGTTGTGGTGTTATGGAAATTAAAAGGAAGACTAATCAAATGAGTTTAGATTGATGTGGGTTTTTAAGGGAAGGTACCCCATCTTTATTTTACCTTTAATCCAAATTAAACATGCATGTTCATATAATATTTAGAAAATGCAAACCAGCTCTAGCTGGTATGGCTCAGTT